TTGTCTGACGAATCTCCTGCTGTTCCTCGATGAGGTAACCAAGCGCCTGGACGAAGGGCAGTCGATTGCGGTCTGCTACTTGGACTTCAGCAAGGCGTTTGATTCTGTGAACCACAGATTTCTGGACGTCAAACTGCAGTCTATGGGAATTGTTGGAAAGGCAAGGCAGGCTGGGCGAACTTTTAGTGTTAAGGTGGGTAGTCATGTCTCAAAACCGGAAGGCGTAACAAGTGGGGTGCCACAGGGCTCGGTGCTCGGCCCACTGCTCCTCCTCATCTCCAACAATGACCTAGCACGTGGGCCTACAAACCCCACCTTTATGTTTGCCGATGACGTCAAGATAGCTGGAGTAGGTATGGGACTTGACGTGTTAGCAGTACAAAACTGGTCACGCAAATGGGACCTTCCACTAAACCTCACCAATTGTCAATGCTTGACCACAAACAAAGGGGCTAGTGGGAATGGTGTGGGTTCGATGCAAGTGGTCTCACAGGTCAAAGACTTAGGAGTTATAATAGACAACAGCTTTAAGCCGTCAAAGCAGTGTACCTCAGCAGCCAACACGGCCAGGAGAGACCTCTTTCGAGTTGGATCCATCATGTCGTGTAGAGATCCGGAGATTTTCGTTCCGATATATCAGGCCATAGTTAGGCCGCATATGGAGTACTGCGTGCAGGCCTGGGCACCGTACTACCAGAAAGATATAGGCTGTCTGGAGAAAGTGCAAGGGCTAGCCACTAGAATGATGGCTGGGCAAGGGGGGCTTACCTATACAGAGCTTCTCCGTGCCCTAGATCTCTTCTCGATGAAAAGACGGCGCAATCGCGGGGATTTAATAGAAACCTTCAAGGTAAAGAAGGGGCCGTCAGGAATAAGACGAGAGAGGCACAAGGGGGCATAGCCTTAGATTACAAAGGAAGCATTCGAGGCTCCAAATTAGGGCGAAGCACTTCTCAAAATGAGTGGTACCCTATTGGAATAAGCTCCCGGAGGAGGTCATAAATACCACAGCAGTGAAGGCTTTTAAGGAAGCAGTAGACCTATGTTGGGTGGCAGTATACCCCGAGTTATGTTAAGCAGCTTTTAGGGTCAGATGCAAATTACTTATTGTTTCCACCTTACTCTGCCAGGGCTGACGCTGAACAAAATTTCTGCCTTTCAGAAAAAGAAAATCACTCAGTGTTGGGAGCTACGGAAACGCGTTGACAACACCACTATCTGGACACACGATTGGCTCTAGCCACACCAAGTCCTGTGCAAGCACTGTGGTCCTTCTGGAGTATGTTTTAGCAGACTTTTTTCTTCATTGCATACTGTCTCAGTGAACGCTCACGATGCATAATGTCTCACGCAGTTGATGTGCGATGAGGTTTTTCGTTTATCTCTCAGTTTCAGCGGGGATTCGACAAAGTACACTCGGCAGTGGTGGGTGCATAACTGGTATGCATACCATCGAAGGAAGTCTGGACGCTCGATTGGCCGTGGCCATTACCTGTCGTTTGTAAACTGAAATGAACTGAACTGAACTACTTGCTCACCAGACCATCCCGGTGGTCGCAAGACCATCCCGGGCCATCGGTATGGCGACTCAAAAGAGGGTAACGTCCTTTGTGCTTGTTAAGCTTGACACCGGGTCGACGGATAGAAAAGAAAAAGTCACGAAACTCAGAGTGTCACTTGATATTCAAGATGCTGCACCGCTGACACCTTTAGAGGCAAAAAACGGGCCATCACCTCGGAGATTGCACCCGAGGGTACCCTAGCCGTAAAATTAGCAATAAAGTCAGTAACGAGGACCAGAGAACCGTCAATATGGTACACCAACACCTGCAGTCTCCCGGGAAAAAGAGGGGAGCTGACCACTAGGATTGCTGAATCCGATGTCGTTGCATTGACGGAAACTTGGATAAAGCCATATACTGACGTGCGCTTCCAGGGATATGCTGCCTACAGACAGGATAAAACAGATGGAAGGCTGGGGGGCAGAGTGGCACTTCTAATACGGACCGACATAGGCCATTGGGAGGCTCCGTTCAACTTGGTCTCAGGTAATGTACAGACCAGATCCTGCTTTATCAGGATCGAGGTGCGAACAGTATGCATTATCTGTATCTACAGGGCACCGCTAGCGACAGATGAGGGAGACGTTGAGCTCTTGCAAATGCTGGATGCGGTGCTGCCACAGACAAAGGAGTTCATATTATTAGGGAACTCATCCTGCCCGAAATTAACTGGAAAAGCGGGATAGCACCAAGGGGGTCAACGGGCGACAAGTTTCTGCAGTGGGTCCAGTTACATGCACTTACGCAGCATGTGACGCAGGCCACCAGACACAGAGGTGGACAGCACCCGTCTCTCCTTGATTTAGTCATAACGCGGCATCATCAGGACATTAAATAAATGAAGTGGGAAGAGCCACCGGGCAAAAGTGATAATGTAGTCCCAAGGGTCACACTAAGACTAAGCAAGGCGCCGAAGGAAATCGTGTTACGTCAGCGCTATGGGAGAATCAACATAGGTGGAATGAAGAGGGCGGATGAGGAGGTTCAGGGGACACCGAGACACACAAACGCCTCCGCAGAGGAACGTTGGGAGGCCATCAAGATGGGGCTGCTCGAACTTACGGATGAGTTCACACCCCTGACGGTGGCAAGAAGTAGAAATCAGCCCTCATGGTGGAAGTCAAAAGTCCGCCAGGCCATAGTTATTCGCAGGCAACGATGGGCGGCGTACAAGCTGTCGAGAACTCAGGGAGCATGGAATAGCTATAAGATGGCTATGAACAGAGTTCAAGAGATTCAAAGAGTGGAGAAATACGCCTTTGAGCGTCGGTTAGCGGCGTCGGTCCGCACAAACCCAAAGCGATTCTACGCCTACGTGCAATCTCACAAACGTATGAGAGAGTGTAGCAACTTTGGAAGGAGCACAGGGACGACTAGCCCTAAACGACGAGGACAAGGCTGACATGCTCTTGGCATTCTTCAAGAGCATATATCAACCAGAAAATAATTTGGAGGAAAGAATGGAGGGCCTACAGGTGCCTCCAATACCCGAACTTACTGTAGGAGAAGAAGTGTGCGCGGAATTGCAAACTTTGAATAGAAATAAAGCAGCAGGTCCAGACGGGATTCATCCAGCAATTTTTCAGCCTCTGGCCGAGGTCCTGAAGGCTCCGGTGACGAAGCTGTATGAATTGTATGAATTGTGCTAAGAGACTGGAGCAGGGCAACTGGTAGGAATTTACAAGAGCGGACTCCTGCGAAAGGCCGAAAATTACCGGCCGGTTAGCTTAACTTCAGTACTGTTTAAGTGCCTGGAGCGAATATTCAGGAAACAGATCTCTGGGCGTTTGGTTCAACATAGCCTTATATCAAATGCTCAGCATGGGTTCGTGGTAGGACGATCTTGTCTGACGAATCTCCTGCTGTTCCTCGATGAGGTAACCAAGCGCCTGGACGAAGGGCAGTCGATTGCGGTCTGCTACTTGGACTTCAGCAAGGCGTTTGATTCTGTGAACCACAGATTTCTGGACGTCAAACTGCAGTCTATGGGAATTGTTGGAAAGGCAAGGCAGGCTGGGCGAACTTTTAGTGTTAAGGTGGGTAGTCATGTCTCAAAACCGGAAGGCGTAACAAGTGGGGTGCCACAGGGCTCGGTGCTCGGCCCACTGCTCCTCCTCATCTCCAACAATGACCTAGCACGTGGGCCTACAAACCCCACCTTTATGTTTGCCGATGACGTCAAGATAGCTGGAGTAGGTATGGGACTTGACGTGTTAGCAGTACAAAACTGGTCACGCAAATGGGACCTTCCACTAAACCTCACCAATTGTCAATGCTTGACCACAAACAAAGGGGCTAGTGGGAATGGTGTGGGTTCGATGCAAGTGGTCTCACAGGTCAAAGACTTAGGAGTTATAATAGACAACAGCTTTAAGCCGTCAAAGCAGTGTACCTCAGCAGCCAACACGGCCAGGAGAGACCTCTTTCGAGTTGGATCCATCATGTCGTGTAGAGATCCGGAGATTTTCGTTCCGATATATCAGGCCATAGTTAGGCCGCATATGGAGTACTGCGTGCAGGCCTGGGCACCGTACTACCAGAAAGATATAGGCTGTCTGGAGAAAGTGCAAGGGCTAGCCACTAGAATGATGGCTGGGCAAGGGGGGCTTACCTATACAGAGCTTCTCCGTGCCCTAGATCTCTTCTCGATGAAAAGACGGCGCAATCGCGGGGATTTAATAGAAACCTTCAAGGTAAAGAAGGGGCCGTCAGGAATAAGACGAGAGAGGCACAAGGGGGCATAGCCTTAGATTACAAAGGAAGCATTCGAGGCTCCAAATTAGGGCGAAGCACTTCTCAAAATGAGTGGTACCCTATTGGAATAAGCTCCCGGAGGAGGTCATAAATACCACAGCAGTGAAGGCTTTTAAGGAAGCAGTAGACCTATGTTGGGTGGCAGTATACCCCGAGTTATGTTAAGCAGCTTTTAGGGTCAGATGCAAATTACTTATTGTTTCCACCTTACTCTGCCAGGGCTGACGCTGAACAAAATTTCTGCCTTTCAGAAAAAGAAAATCACTCAGTGTTGGGAGCTACGGAAACGCGTTGACAACACCACTATCTGGACACACGATTGGCTCTAGCCACACCAAGTCCTGTGCAAGCACTGTGGTCCTTCTGGAGTATGTTTTAGCAGACTTTTTTCTTCATTGCATACTGTCTCAGTGAACGCTCACGATGCATAATGTCTCACGCAGTTGATGTGCGATGAGGTTTTTCGTTTATCTCTCAGTTTCAGCGGGGATTCGACAAAGTACACTCGGCAGTGGTGGGTGCATAACTGGTATGCATACCATCGAAGGAAGTCTGGACGCTCGATTGGCCGTGGCCATTACCTGTCCTGTGCAGAGTGAACTGAACTGAACTGAAACTGAACTGAACTGAACTGAACGCTAGACGAACGACAAGGCCGAGGGGCACCCTACGGACGTAATCGTCCTGGGTTTTAGCGAAGCTTTTGACGAAGTTCCACACCACCGTCTAATAGGTAAGCTCAAGGCTCCCGTTGTTGTAAATCCCTTAATTCTATATATCGAGGAGTTTCTTCAAGGGGAGATGTTTGCAGTGCTAGTACTAGTAGTAGTACTCTGTCTATATGGCACACTAAATTAGTGTCAGCAATATCTAAGACGACACTAGCAAACTAAGATGGGCGGAGGAGCGTGCTGTGATAAAAGGCCAAAAGGGTTTGTACATTAGAAATTGAAATGAGACAAAAGGTGACACGAACTCTAAGTTGTTCGCTGTTCTTGTGATCAGGAAATGAGCGCCAAAGAGCCGGTATCCGACAATATCTTCAATTCAGTTCGTTCTGACAGCCATTCGTTAAACAAAACAGGATGGTATTGAGAGAAGTGCCAAGTGACGCCGTGGAAGCTTCAAAAATGTTTTGTTTCCCACAGTTAGTTCCGACCGATATAATTCCAAGACACTCCAAATCAGAAGATGAGACCGTGCCAGAATGAAAGGTTTATTGACAGTCTTTTTGTATTGCGTGGTGGTGATGATGATGTTCAAAAAGGTGTGTGTGTTTTGCATTGAAACGTCGGTACAACAAAAGAGTGTTGCACCAAGGGACGTTGAGAATCATGGGAAGAGTCGGAAATGCACAGGTACCTACACAACTCTCCCACCAGATCGTTTGTTGTACAAAATAAACGCTCCATAGAAAAATAAAAGAAGAAAACGGTTAGCGAAAGAAGAAGTTAAATAACAAAGTCCTGAAATCTGACAGGATGTCGGACGTTTCTGTCAGAACGGCGGGTTACCAGGGGTGGTTGTTGCTGTGGGGATGCTGGTGGGTATGGTGTGGTGTCTGGTGTGATGATAGAGTGTGGATCATCAACAAAAGTTGTTGGTAGTGTCTGTGGATGGTGAAGGTGTCGGTGTTGCTGGTGATGGGAATGTATCAAAATACGCGGGTTGCAGTCTGTCAATGGAAACAGTGTCTGGTTTATCGGATTTCTGAACCACATAATACGTGTCTGTGCGAATAAGTACCTTAAGTGGACCGTCATACGGTGGTGTGAGTGGTTTCTTGCGAACAGCATCGTTACGAATAAAAACAAAAGGTGATGTGTATGAATCATTATGTACAAAAACGTGTGTGGATGACGTGTGAGTGGGAGTTGGACGTAGATGTGACATAGTCTTTGAGTTGTTGAGCAAACTGGGATGGGTTAGAACTGTCAGCAGTGCTGGGTTGAACATACTCACCTGGAAGGCATATGGTGGTACCGAAAACGAGTTCAGCCGACGTGGTGTGGAGGTCGTCTTTGACTGGTGACCGGAGACCCAAGAGAACTAGTGGCTGATTTTCGCTCCAACAATTAGGGTTTGGCTGTGATATCAGTGCTGTTTTCAGTTGACAGTGTAGGCGCTCTACCATGCCATTGAACGGAGGATAGTATGCGGTTGTTGTAATGTGTTTACAGCCGAGCAGTTTAGTGAACTCACGAAACAAAGTCGATCGGAATTGGCTGCCGCGGTCTGTGGTGACGGTAGACGGTACACCAAATGTAGTAATCCAGTGTTGGAGTAGTACTTTCGCAGTGTTTTCTGCTGAGATGTCGGAAGTAGGTACTGCAACCGGCCAGCGCGTGAAACCATCGACAACGGTTAATGTGTGGGTATGTCCATTTGATGGTGGTGGTGAACTAACGAGATCGACGTGAATATGTGTGAAATGGACATCGAGAACAGTGAATGTACTGGGAGGACAAAATGTGTGACGGTGGACTTTGTTTCTCTGACATTGTGAACACTGTTTAGTCCATAATGCAATGTCAAAATTCATACTGGGCCAAACAAATCTGGCAAAAATGAGTTTGCGAGATGCACGAATACCAGGATGGGAACGAGAATGGAAATGATCGCAAAGGATTTTCCTTTAGAAAGTTGGAACGACAGGACGAGGGTTACCTGTAGACCAGTCACACAGGATTTTGCCATCGGCTGAAGGTAGGGAAGAATCCTTCAGCTGGAGTGTGGAGGATGTGCGCATTTCAAGCAAGGATGAATCATCACGCTGGAGGTTTGCCAGTTCCGTAAGATCGAATTTTGTTTGCACCGTGTTGATGTCAAGTCTAGATAAAGCATCAGCCACAACATTATCAACTCCACGCACGTAGGGGATATCTGTTGTGAACTGGGAAATATCCAGATGGCGGATGTCTTTGAGTGAATGTCTGTCAGGCTTGGCATGAAGTGCGCGTGTCAGGGGTTTGTGGTCAGTGTGCACCTGAAATTGTCGTCCTTCCAAAAGGTGGCGGAAATGACGGATGGACAAGTAAACAGCCAGGAGTTCACGAGAAAACGTGCTGTATCTTGTCTGTGCTGCCTGGAGTTTTTGTGAGAAGAACGCTAATGGTTGTAATTGATTGTCCACAGTTTGGTGGAGCACTGCACCGACCGCAGTATTGGATGCCTCAGTTGTTAGGATTAACTCGGTATTCGGATCCGAATGTGGATAATGCAGCATGGCGGAATCTGCGAGAGCCTTTTTGACTTCTGCAAAAGCTGCCTTGGCCTTGGGAGTGAAATCGACCGTCTTGACGTTGGACTTGAGTAGATCGGTTAAAGGTGAAACGATGGTCGCACATCATCACCATCGTACAGCGTTAAACAGTAGGGCAAGCCCCACTGACCAATGCCTTTCTCACCATGTTGCACGTTGAATTAGAAAGTATGAATATACAAGATGGATAGGGAGTGGACCTACACGGATGGGAAAAGGAAAAAATGCCGTTGTAGCTAACACACGAAATACAGTCTAACTGTACAAACAAACATCGACCAGTCATTCTGATTCAATGGAGATTGACAACACGATCGCCACTGTTCATGGTTCGCAGCCATATCCTTCAATGTCTCCAGCCAACTGGTAGACGGATCTTCTGGACCCCAACCACAAAGACGTGAAGCACCTACTTTTCCTAAGTCTGCTGTACATTTTCTTATTTCTCGCTGCCACGTCATCTGTTGACCTCCACGTGATTTCTTCTACTTTCTAGGAGGAACGGAGAATAGGACACGGTACGGTAGACGTGTGTTTGACATACGTAACATGCCCCAACCAACGAAGTCTGCTAAGTTGGATACGCTGTGATAAAACGTTCTCCGAATTAGTACCCAATACTCGATTTCTGACCTCAGCATTGCTCACTCGGCTATTCCACCCAATCCTAGAGATACTACGTAAACATCGATGGTCGAAAACCTCAAGACGACGAATATCTTCAGCACGCAGACTCCAAGTTTCGCAACCATACAACAAAACTAAACGCACTGCGGCACAGTAAACACGACCTTTCAACTTCAATGAAATACCAGGTCGGCGCCACAAGTGCTTCAGTCCAGCGTACACCATTCGAGCCTTGGATATCCGCGTGCCCACCTCTACTACAGTACTCCCATTCGTTGTCACGCTGCTGCCGAGGTAGGTGAAGTGGTCGACAACTGCCAGCACCTCCCCATCGAGCATCAAGCTCGGAATCGTTGATGTCCAGTCTTGTAACATCACTTTACACTTTGAAGGTGCAAAGCGCAGAGTTCCCTCTCTTTTATTCAACCTTTGTCTTCTGTCCCTAACCACCCCTCTTTGCCTCATCTACCCATCCATAATGCTCCCACTGATAACACGGGCAATACTGCCAAATAGTATCGGGAATAATCCTCTGTCTGGTAACTCACATTTTCTCAAGCCTCGTCAGCCTCTGAATCTCATCTTCAACGCCCGTACACCCATGCAGGCCGGTCAACAGGTGTGCCTAGCCCTCACAATGACCTCTCTGAAGATTTATGTCTGCTGCCTCAGTGAAACGCGTATACAGGATTCGAGCAGTGTGATTCATGGTCGCACAATGAGGAATGAAGCGGTGGTAGTAGTTCAAAATTCCCAAGAAACGTCGTATCTATGTGATCGTTTTAGGTGCAGGAAATGAGAGGATGCTGCGCATTTTATCTGGGAGGGGTGTCAAACCGTTTTGATCGATATGGTGCCCGAGGAATTCGAGGGACGGGACGCCGAACACGCATTTATTAGGGTTCAGTTGAAGTCCGTATTGTTGGAAACGCTGAAAGAGTTGACGCAGATGAATGACATGCTCTGATGGAGAGGCGCTGGCAATTCAAATGTCGTCGATGTAGCCAAACGCGAAGGGTAGACCTCGAAGTACTTCATCGATGAATCGTTGGAACGTCTGAGCAGCGTTTCTTAATCCAAATGGCATGCGTATGAACTCGAACAGGCCAAAAGGCGTGGTGATGGCTATCTTGGGAATGTCTTCTTCCTCCATGGGGATTTGGTGATATGCCTTTACGAGGTCAATCTTGGAAAAGATTGTCTTCCCAGAAAGATTCTGTGCAAAATCGTGAATGTGCGGGATCGGATACCTTTCGGGGACGGTGACGTTGTTGAGCGCACGGTAGTCTCCACAGGGTCTCCAAGCACCAGATGACTTTGGAACCATGTGCAAAGGCGAGGCCCATGGGCTTGAAGGTGGTCGAATGATGCCAAGATTCATCATGTGTTCGAATTCAGGACGTGCAATACGGAGTTTGTCGGCGTTGAGTCGGCGTGGTTGAAAATGGACAGGTTGGCCTTTTGTGGTGATGTGGTGACGCACAGTGTGAGAGACTGGGTCGGTGAACTGACACGGTTTAGTGAGGGATAGAAACTCCTTCAAAATGCCAACAAACGGCGATTGCAGAATCGCCAGCCGAATACCCAGGGAGTTGGTGCATTCACCAATGCCGACTGCCCAAAGCTTGGTTGTAGTGTCTACCAGCTTGCGATTTTTGAGGTCCACAGTTAGGCCAAAGTGTGAGAGGAAATCCGCGCTGATAATGAGAGTCTGGACATCTGCCTGGATGAAAACCCATTGAAAAAATCGTCGAAGGCCTAAATCAAGAGTGATTGACCGTTGGCCGAATGTCGCAATAGTTGTTGTATTTGCTGCTTGCAGTGTGAACTGAGATGGTTTTAGG